AAAATAATAAAAATTAATTAACCATAGTAAAAAATAAGTTATTAAGTTACTTAAATAAAATGAAAATAATTATTGAATACTATTATTGATAAAAATAAATTTATTGAAATACTAAAAATTAATTAATTAATAAAAAATTAATAAGATAAATTAAAAACTAATATCCATTTAAAATTAATACAAAACTATCTAACAATTATTAGTTTTATAATTAATTTTCACTAACTAACTTAAATTCCATTGGAAAAATAAAAAAATGAATATTGTTATTTAAATTTAATGAGGATTAATGAAAAGAAAAAGTAATAAAAAATTATTAACATTAAATATATTTTAATTAATTTAAAATCCACTTAATTTATATTTAAAAATAGGGAAATTATAAAAATTACCTTGGATTTCCTAACAATCCTATGAAGCTCCCCTATGTTTTGACCTTAACAAAAACTAGGGTTGTCAATGCTTAAGTCCGAGTCAGGTCTAGGTAGAACCAGTCCCAAAATGATAATTAATTGAGATAAAATCATAAGCCTAGAACCATCCTGTTTAATAGTCAGGTTTATCGGGTCTAGACCTGATTGTACTTAATCTGTATTTATTTTTTTAATAAATTATAATTTAAAATTTGATAATATAACCTTAATAAAAATGATAGAAAATACTAAATTATTTATGTTTTAATAAATTAAACATTTTTTACTAATATTATCTACCAATTTTACCATTTCAAATGTAAAAATTTGGTAAAAATTAAGAAAATATTATATATTTAATAAATAATTGGTTTCAAGTCTACATCGGCATGGAATAAGAAAGAACTAGAATGGACTCAATTATTAATTGGGATTTGGGACAAAATCATGGAACCATAACTGCTATAATCAGTTTACCTTGTTTGGGTCCATCGGGTAGACCTGACCCATTGATAGCCCTAACTAAAACCTCTCATGTTATTTTGAAAAAAAAAGTGTAAATACCTTCCTTTTATTAGCATTGATGTAGTGCATTAAATTTTTAAATACCAAATTTACCCTTAATCAACATCATTCAATGTAAATTTACTAAAATACCTTAAAAAAAGATTTGCTTCATTTTTCTTCACTCTAGTCTTTTTACCTTACTTCACCCAAGAAGAGTAGATCTACTCTTTAGGCTACATTTGGAAATGATGCAAATATGTAGAGTGTAAAATGGTCCATTGCAAAGTTGGGTTAGTTTTGCATGGACAAATTTACCTTTTTACCAAACAAACTTTTAGCTGTAATGGATGCAAACACTAATTCCAATAAATCATATGCCTTTTTTTTTATCAAAAACCCACTTCAGTGCAAATTTACTTCTTTTTTATTGATGTACTTTTACATCTTATTATCAATGTAAATATGCATTGGTCTATCATTTGTCAATGCATAAATATAATGTTGCGAAACACAGGCAAAAGTGAACCAAAGTGCAAATTTACCCTGAACCGGGATTTACACTCTATTTGCATCGTTTCCAAACACAGCCTTCAAAGTTGTGAGGCAAAACAAATTAGTAGAGGGTAAAGATTGATCCTTTAAATTTTGTATGGTAACACTTTAACATTGATAAGGGTATTTTTGTAAATTCAATTGCTCTTTTGTTCAAAAAAATATAGGGGTCAAAACAAAAGGCAAAGCCAAACTAAAAGCAGAAATGCATAGTTAGACAAAAATCTTCTCTAAAAAGACCAAACTTTTCCAATGAGCGGACTGTTATGTTAAATTCCCTCATGATCCATCTCTAGGGAGCTAACATATCTACAACTAGGTCCCTAGCCTCATTGAGTAGATTCTCTAGCTGCCATGGGACCTTGGAAGCTAGCCACCTAATTATATTTGCAGAATCTCTCTCAATCATAAATGAATTTAACCCTAGTTGTCCATCTATTCGAAGATCAATGAGCAAGGCTAGGATCTCTACCTTTGTGGAACTTTCAATCTCAATAGGCCCACTAAAAGCCCAAAAGGTCCCACCTCTAATTGGCCAAAAAACTCCCCCTAACCAACCAAACTAGGGTTACCCAAGGAGCTACCGTCAAATTTGAGAACAATGCCATCTGTGTCAAGTAGGGGTGGTCTACTAAGAGTGCAGGGTGGGGGGAAGGAGACCCGATCTGCTCCTCACACAAGGCACCTCACACCGACCTCACATGCACATCCTACCATGCATTGGGAACATCTCCCGTACTTATAAGTTATTATTCATGGGAGATGTTCCCAATGCATGGTGGATGTGCCTGTGAGGCGCCCATGTGTAAGGAGTAGATCCCATTCGGGGGGAAAAAAGGGGATGAATGCAAGTAGATGACAACTAGGTTCTTTTTCATTTATTCCATACTAATTCCCATGAACTTACTACTAGAAGCCCAAAAATTACAATGGTTCACTATGTCATTAAGAATCTCCTCGAAAGATCTATTTTTATTCTCAAAAATGTGCAGATTGCAGTCTTCCCAAATGGTCCACATGATAGCTTGAGAAACAAAATTCCAATATAATTTCCCTCTCTTTCCTAAGCCTCCACACTACAATTCAAATTACAGGCATGATGCAAACTAACCTAATTCAAATTTAAAAGAAGAAATAAAAGCTAGACCTTTTTGCTCACACTGCAATACACTAAAAGTGACTTGCTAAAGTGTGAGTACTCCAAATTCCCTAGTCTAACTGATTGGGTGAGATGCAAACATCAAAAAGCAAGGACTTTAAATTATAAGAGTCCAAATTTTCCTGGTCTCTAAGGGTTCACCACCAATTGAATGTCGAAGAGACAATTGAGTTGGAATTTGACTTAAAGCTTGAAGTCATGCTTCTAGGGTTAAGGGAAATTGATGAAAAAGACAAGTGAATTGCAAGGCTAAAGGACTACTACCCCACCACAAATCTGTCCAAAATTTAACTTGGGACCTATTACTTATTTGAGTGTATGATGTGGTTAAAAAACAATGGATAGAGGTTATTTATACATTTCTAGATTGAATGAGCTCAGACTCTAGTCTACTGGGGTGGAGGCTTCTATCCCATCCATTGGAATGTAACCTTAGTCCAAAGAATGTCTTTCTTATTTGGAAACAAAAATATAGGGGAAAATAAGATTTATTTTTACTAATATTGATAGTGGAATACACTACAATTGACCCAAAAGTAAATTGGTTTTTTCGTCTATGCAAGTGGTGGGGCAATGTTAAAGCACCTAGGTCATATGGGTTATTCCATGATGTTATAATTAAATAATAAAATTAAAAAAAAAGATAGGAATACAATAAATTATTAAAAATAGAAAAAATATAGCTAACATTATGTATTCACCATATCAAGAATATAAATATGATAAATAAAAAATATTTTTATTAATGATGGAAATAGAATGGAAAATCAATGTAAAAAGAAAGCTAATATTTGACTTGTGACCCCACCAATTAGGTCAAATAGTTCAATGGTTCAAATAGTTGGGTCACTATATTGTTAATTGAGCTAATGGCTTCTTATGAGTAAGTAATTTGATCATAAATGGACCAAAAAAACTAGTGTGATTGGTTAATTGGTTGATTTGATCATAAGATAAAAAACACCAATGAAAAACCATTATTCTAAAAATTGAATGAAACCACATTTCCCTCTTAATCAAACAAGTGAACTTTTGATGTCATAAATTAAATAAAAAATAAAAAATATAAAAACATTATAAATTTTAGAAGAAAATAAGTATGTTTTTAATATTATTTATTCATCAAATTAAATAAAAATATGTCTAAAAATGAAAATTATTGTGAATAATGATGGAGATAACAAGAATACCAAAAAGAAAAAAAAAATAAATGTATCAGCCATAGATCGTTGACTTGGTCAATTAGATCATTGGTTTCACCAATACACACTATGCTTTGATTACTTATCTTTCTTACATGGGTTTTGGTAAGAACACTAAGGGCTTGTTCGTTTCCTCTTAACTCTTATTTTTTAAGAGGAATCTTTTAACTTTAAGAGAAAAATGATTGTTCGTTTTTTCTTATCTCTTAAAGTGTAACCGTACAACCTTTTATATTCCAATGATACCCCCAAAAAGACAAACAAAAACTCTCATGTATGAGGTCAAAAGGGATATTTGATAATTTAAAAAATTTAGAATTCATAACAACATTCTTTGCATTCAAAGTTCAGAGGAAACAAAAGTTCACCAATACCAATATACCTCTTAATGTAATTATTGTACTCCAGATGTCAAACTTCAGAACAAACGAACATACTTTAAATTATTATTATTGTCGTTGTTTATTTTCTTTTTTTTTTGGTTATTGTATTGTTATTATTATTGTCATTTGAAATGTGCACATTTACTGGTTAACGAAATGAATGAGAGAGAGGGGACTTGAAACGAATCAAGTGTACTGGGCTGTATGCCCATATCGGCTGATACAGACCCAAAATAGCTCGATATGGGCCCGTATATATGTTCGATACATACAAAAATAAATAGACTATTTCTACACATTCAATGCATCGAGCGCGTGCTGGAATGATACTGATCGGCTGATACAATCCGATACATTGCGAAATTGTGAATCTTGCTCTTTGTTTTTATTTTTTTTTACTTAAGTCTTGAATTGTTTAGCGCTTGGGGCTAATCAATCTCATGAGTTTAGAAATTCTGTTGGATCTTTTGCTTATGATCAAAAGAAGTGGGGAGGGAAAGGAAGATTTGAAGAAATTTAATCGTGGCCTGGTTGCAATGTTAATTTATTTGTACTGATGTAAAATTATGATAATGCAAATGATTTTAGATGCAAATTATGATTTGTTTGATTGTTTCTATTTAAAAATTTACCTTATTTGCTTGATTGTAGTACAAATTGAGTAAAATAAGACATGAATCAGAATTAAGTAAAAGTAATTAAACCAAAACTTTGCATTAATTTTATTTGCACTCCCATGCATCTGTACCAGTGCAAATAAAAATGCATTACAACCAAATTGAATTATGCCCTCAAGGACATATGCCCTGTTTGCCCTTTTTCTTCACGTTCCTGTCCGTTCAATATGCTATTCACTCTTCAGTCTTCTTACGAAGTCCGAAGCCCGGCAACCTGCGGCTCATCCTGTTGTCTTTGTCTCTACCCTCCTCAAACCCAACAGTGTGAAGCTATCAACATAGCAAAGTTTGTTCGTCATCGTCAGACCTCCTCTAGTTCGAGAGGGTTTTGGAGTTTGCCCAATATTTAAATAGCGAAACATGTGTATTCGTTTTTGCCTTTCCCACGTCTCACGTCGCACTCCCACGCCTCACGTCAGACGCGGAAGGGTCGTTTGATTGGGTTTGCTGTAAACTCGTTTCTGAAACTCCGACCAACATCTCTCTTCACTTTCGCGGGAAACTGGTAGGATTAACTCTCCCCTCGGATTTTCTATAATCTTCTTCACGCCCCGGATTTCAAGTTCAATTGCTCTATTGTCTCTTTTCTTGATTCTGATTTTTATTTTATTTTGAACAGATCGAACTATTTTTTTAAAGCCTTGATTCTGAACTAGATTTCAGCCAAAAATCTGTACTTAGATTTCTTCTACTCGCCTCTGTCGATAAGGCTTCAACGCCGCAACTTCTCCCCTCCGCCATTGAAGCAAGCCTCAGCGCCGCAAAGAGGTAATACAGGTTATTGGGTCTGTCTGTTTCAGATTCCTTAATTTAATTAAGTTTTTAAAACAAGAACATTGTGAATTATTCATTTGAAAGCAAGACTCCAAGTCGCCTCTGTTTTCTTGTTTGTTTTCATTGGTTCTGGTTGAAGAATGAAGCATTCGGAAGCGTCGTTGTTGTGTGAAGGATAATAATGGAGTTGATTCTCGGTTGAGAGACTTGTTTGTTTGTCCTCTTTTTCCATTTGTTTGTTGGATTCTTTCTGTAAACGGGTTATCTCGTTGTCAGAAGTAAGTGTGTAGAAAAAACGATTTTGAAAAATGAAGCAGAGATGCCCTTTTAGTTCATGGTAATTGAAATTTGTGTTGATTTACAAGTGGTTTGTGTTTCTTCCCTTTTTCTTTGAGAGAAGGAAAGTATAAAATATATTAGCTGAGAAAAAAATATACAAGTATGGTCCTCTGTACAGTAGTATTTCATACAATAAGCTCCTTTAAGGACCCCCACAAAATTTACATTCCAGAAAGTGGACGAGAGATCCTCACGACTGAAACATGTAAGAGTTGGCATCCAAACTCTCAACATGCCAACCACCGAGTTGATAACCACCTCCTCCAAACTCGGCTTTTGCTAAAAAATTCTACTATTCCTTTCAGACCAAATTGCCCACAGCACAGCCAGAGGAACCACCTCCCAGCAAGCCTTCCCTCTCTTGGACATTCCTTGAATCCTCCATCCGGCTACAGGACCTTCCCTTTCACTCTTCATTCATTTTAGAATTTAAGTAAGGAAAGATAGTGAGCAGAGATTTAAGTTTAAGAACACATCAGAGATAAAGAGTAATCTTAAATCTCTAATGGCAACCGTCAGCTTACAAGAAAATTTTGAACAACCGTGGTTTTTACAGTAGTAATCTTGAAGGGAAGAGATAAAATTATCCCAATGAATGGACCTGGCTGAATTGCAGCTCCCCAATTTAAGTCACTAGAAAACACAGGTTCCTGGATCCCAAGGCCCATCTTTTCTCTCAATCATTTCAACTGAAGCTTTAGAATCTTTCTCCATCTAGATTCTAGAACCTAGTTTAATTTGATATAATCTAGGATCATAAAATCTCTACATAAAACCATGATGTATTTTTCATTTGGAGAATTGATTTGAGGAAACAGGGTGATGCCAAACGTGATTCTAATCCTGAGAAACAGGAATTAGATGAATGTACCAAATGCATCTAGTGATTCTCTGATGAGAATTTTCAGAATTGTTGCCAAACTGGGCCTTAGTTTCTCTTGTTTCTCTTATCAACAGGTTTTCTCTGCTCAGTTTTAGTTGAATTTAATTATTCTGATACAAGTCTGACTCTATTTTAGGTACAACAATGGTGTATTGCAAGTTTTGTGCAAAGAATACCATATCAGAGCGAGATCCTGTTGGCGGCTTCTTGTAAGTAGCTTAATACTTTTTTGTTTTCTTAGTTTTTATTTCCATCTCAACTGTGAATCTCTTGGTTTGTCTATTTTTTTTCCTTATTTGTTTAATGCATGAGTTGTTTCAGTAAATGTAGTTGTTTCTGTAAATTTGGCTAATTACGTAAAAATTCTGAAATATGGTCTAATTTCGTCATTGGGCATATTGCCTCATGCGTTCATCATATAACTCTCTACTTTCCTTTTGATTTGTATTTTAGATCCTGTACTTCTTGTGGAAAGGTCATTGATCAGGATGTGTACTCCACCGATGTTAGCTTCATCAAAAATGCTGGAGGGCAGGTATGTTATTCTTCTATATTTTCTCTCTTTTTTTGACAGCAGTATGATCAAAAAGCCATACTAATGTAAACGAGTTGTTCATGTTTCTCAAATAAAGAAGGACCCCAATATTTTCTGACTAGTGTTTTAACAAGTTTTCTTGAAGTCTTGGTTTTCTACTGGTGTTATACATGTGCATTTGTCATAGACTATGACCCTTCTTTTTTTTTCCTAGAAAAATGATTCTAGAATTACAAAACAAAGAAATGGGTGACTTTGTTATGAGGATGTAACATATTTTATTTTATCATGTTTTGGGGTGTGTGGAAGGAGAAATGTCACAGGGTTCTTTGGAGCCAATTTGAAGGCACTTTTGTGTCTTTTTGAGCATGCTTATATCCTTTTCATTGGGCTGGGAGTGCTTGAATTAAATTTGGATATGCCTATATCTGATTTGATTCAATTTGTTTGCAGCCCTAAAGTTATGTGCAAATTAGGAAAATAAAATACTAGAGTGCCCCAATGGACAGGTTAAATGGTTGGATAAGTGCTACATAAAGGTGTTCAAAGTGAAGATTTGTAGTTTTGGAGAGTTGATGTAGTGGGGATTTTGGTAAATCCCCTTCCAAAGGTGGTGTGTGTGTGTGCAACACTCTTGGACCATTTACACCTGCTTCAAAACCTTCAATGTATTCCAATTCCTTTCCCTTGTCTAATAGTCCTACTACAAATTTCTGCTACTAATACAAGCAACAAAGGAGAAAGAGGATCACCTTGGTGAATACCTCTAGAAGCTTGAAAGGATTTAATAAGCAACCCATTCACCAAAACTAATAATGAAACTAACAAAATAAAAGAGAAAATCTAACTACTCCATTTCCCCCCAAAACTCACCATATTTACAACTTTGTCAAGAAATCTCCACTCCACATTTGTATTGTATGCCTTCTCAAATCAATTTCACAATAATACCTGGCCCCGTACCTCAGTGTAGATTAGCTCTCCTTATCCTCCTTGTGCCACACCCTACAAACTTTATGTCAATAACCAATCAACCATTATTATGGTTGGTTCTTTGGGCTAAGTTTGGATTACATTCTGCTCCAAAGAGTCAATATTTGAAGAATGATTTCTGAGCTAATTAGCTAAAAATGATTCTTTTTTGAAGTTTCATCTTTTAGCTTCAAAGAATCAATTCTTAAAACTGTTTTGAGCCTAGAAAAAGAATTAGTTCCGACAATTTTCAAAATTTCAAACTTAAAAGTGGTTGCTTGAAGTTCTTTTTTGTGGGCTTGCCTGCCAATTACCAGTGGTCTATCATTTTTTTGAGTTGTCATTGTAAAGGCTTCAATTGTATGTGATTTGTGCATATCATAGGCATACTTTTGTAAATGATTTGAGTGTGTGTTGCCCTCCTTTTTGATTACTAATATGATATAATCTATTACCATTTATCAAAAAAATATTGGAAATTATTCTCCAAAAGCATGCCAAACACAGCCTTAACCTGCAATTCTTTTCTCATATTTTTCTCTTATTGTTTGCTGACTTTTGTTTGTTTGCAGAGCCAAATGTCAGGTAATTTTTTAAGGACTGTGCAGAGTGACTATTCTGAGTCACATGAAAGGACTTTGATGAAAGGTATGTCTTTAATATTTTATTCATCTAAGAGAATTTTTGATATTCTTATTCTCTTGTGCAGTTAAAAATCTGAATATACACTGAATGACTGAATACCTGGTTAGAACTTATGATTATTGCATGCTATTGGAATATTGTGTCAAAGTCTCATAGAGAATGTGTAATATGAGATCCTTTAATTGCATTCAACTTGAACAAGTTAAATAGTTTTGGATCCTTTATGAGAAGCTTTTGGTCCTTTAGTTTCTCCAAATCATAGTGGCTTCATCACAGCTTTGGACTTCTTTAGGGGTATTCTTGACAATAGCTTTTTACGGAGTCTAGGATGGTTAGGGACTGGAGGTCCTTTTAGAAACTCTTTGAGAGAGAGCCTTTGAGTTTGATGTGCTCTCTAAATTGTCCATCAATTGGAAGTGTAAGGAAACTTCTAGGTGGTTGATTATTAGACAGATGAAGGGAAAGGCAGAAGGTTCTTGGCTACCACATTATCATCCTAGCAAATGTTCACGTGCTTTGCATGTGCAAATTTTAGATGATGGAGATGATGGTAATAATAGAAAGCTTGGCAAGGGATCTGAACTTTAAAAATTGGCTTAACCAATCAAACTTTAAAAGCTTGGAGTTTGATGGGGATTCAAAGTTGGTTGTTTCATGGACTACTAACAGGTGCAATGTACCTTGGATCTACAGACATGCTCAAAGGGAAATAGAAAGCTTGGCAAGGGACCTAAATACTAATTTTACCTGGACAAGGACTGCAAATGGGATGACCGATACATTAGCTAAACAGGGGGTCTATAGGTAGCAGTTGTTTTGGGATTTATTGTAGTATTTTGGGCTCTGCTTCTCAGTTTACTGTTTCTTGGATGAAATGTCACCTCTCTTATGTAACTTAAATTGTCTTATTTTAATAAAATCAATTTTTTCTTGCTGATAAAAAAGGATGATGGTAATAATGTGTCCAAAATTTTCTACAGTTCTTTTTTATATTTCTATTTGTATAAAAATAACTCTTATTTATGGGTCAGAACAATGACGTTGTTCTCACCTTTCTTCTATGATGATATATGGAGGAAATGGGGGTAGGTGGCAAGATGCTCTTAAAAGAAGAAAATTGTGCATCAATCTTGGTCACCTCCTATGGAAGGTTTCGTAAAGTTAAACTTTGATGAAAGTAGCCATTGGCAATCTGGGTCCTTTTGATAGGAATTCTTTTAAATGTTTTGATGTGCTTTCAGGCTTGAAGATTAACTTAAACAAAAGTGTTTTGATTGACAAGATGCGTTTGAAGATTGTGCTGCAGCCTTGGGGTGCCTAATTGGTGAATTTCCTTTTACATACTTGGGGTTACCTATTGGGGCAAAAGCTTCACCTTTTTCTACATGGCAGCTGGTGTTGAACAGAATAGAGCAAAGACTACTGGGTTGGAAGGGGACATATCTTTTTTTTTCGGTGGTAGCATCACTATTATTAAAAGTGTTTAATCAAACTTACCAATATATTAATTGTCTCTTCTAAAGGCCCTAAAGTAGTGATAAAAAGATTAAAAGTCTTCAGAGGGAGTTCTTGTGGAATATTAAAGTAGTTCAAAAGAAGCCTCATTTGGTAAAGTGGGAATAGGTGTGTAGGGTGAAAAAGATGGGGGTTTTGGAATTAGAAGGGTGAGAATTTTTAATCAAGCTTTATTGTGTAAATGGGTTGGAGGTTCAGGTGGGAGAGGGAGGCACTTTGGAGGAGGGTTATTTCTTGTGAATATGTGGTGGTAAATTTTGGGTGGAATTCGAGGGAGCTCACATCTTCTTATGGGGTGAGTGTGTGGAATGGGATTATGAATTTTCATGCTTTATTAAGGCCTCTTTTTTCTTGAAGGGTGGGGATGGGTCTAGTATTAGGTTTTGGGAGGATGAAAGGTTGAAAGTGGGGAAGTTATGTGATTTGTGCCAAAGGTTATACAGGTTAGCTAGAAAGGAGGTGACAATTTCTCAATGTTTTGACTTTTGAGTGGAGGAGAGGTTTGTTGGTGTCCTACTTTCAGAAGACTCTTTTTTTGAAGAGTAAAAGTAAAATTTTATTAAAACAAAAACAGGTACAAGCTGTTCAGGTGTCAAGGTAACACCCTAAATTAGGGGTGCAAATTGATCGGATCATGATCTGATCTGACTTGAGATCCGGTCCTATTTGGTTGAATTCGGGTCACCCTTGATGGGATCTTCGGATCGGATTGGATTGGATAGTAGGATCCAATCAGAAATTGGATCGGTTTTGGATCACCCTTATCCGACCCGAGAAGATCCGATCTGATATATATTATATTTATAAATATAAATATATAATACATATATATGTTATTTATTTATTTAAAACTATATTTTTTATATTATATTTTTATAAATTTGTTATATTTATTTATTTTTTATAAAAACATGTATATATATGATGAAAATAATTAAAAAATACTTGTATTTTTTGTTTTTACTTTATTTAAATTAGTATATTTAATTTTTATTTTAATAATTTATTAAATTTTAAAGAAAACAAGTCGGATCGGATTAGATCCAAAGATCCGACTTACCAATAGGATTCAAATTCAAATCGAGTCCTATCAGATCCGATCAGATCGGATTCGAACATACCCTGATTCGAATCTGATCCGATCTGTTTGCATCCCTACCCTTAATCAAAGCAAACATACATCAAAACTTCAGTTCAGACAGAAATGATTCACATTACAAGTTTGAATATCTAAAATGTCCCAAAAATTATCAACAAAGTCTGAAGGTCTGGTTTGCTGAAGTTTTGCAAGAGATAAGACAAGAGAAACGAGAGAGAGAAACTTGGGAATCACTTTCAGGCTTTGGGGATTGCTCACTAGTCACTACAAGTCACACAAGCAGATCTTGGTGTTCTTTTCTTCCCAAATCATCTTTACATAATTGTGTTTCCTCTCCTTGTGATTTTAAGGGGGAGGAGAGGGCTTAAACAACTTGTCAATGTCCATTGGGGGTAGCCACTTGATACCAAATAAATAGAAGAAATGCTCCCAAATTCTAGTGACAAATAGGCAGGAAATTTGTAAATGATAAGTAGTTTTACCATTCATCTTAAAGAAGATACATCTCTAAGTTCTCTAAGAAGATATGTGATCATTTAGGCCTCACTCTCTAAATTACCTTAGAAGTATTATTTTTCAAGAGAGACATCTCTAAACAAAATATTGTAATTTTTTGTGGAGTTGGGCATGATCAAATTGCATTCATAGGAAACATCTGGAGGAAATGATAAAAAGGGCAAAGGGTTTTTAAGAAAGAAGAACAAGAGAACAATCTACTAGGGTTGCTGATGAAAAACAGATCTTCTAGAGTCAAAGGCCGGAATTCTTTCGTTAGAATGAAGGAGAAATAACCGTTACAGGAGATCAGTTAATCTAATCACCTTGTTTGATTCGTGATCTGTCAATGCTCTCCTAAACCCAAAATTCCAATAGTAGCCAACTCTAGAGAGGAGAATCATGAGGTGATAGGGGAATTTTTAAGGTTATAGATGAGAAACAATCAAGTGAATCCAATAAACCCCAGGGTATAATCATCCTCTGTTTAATTATCCTCCAACTTAGTAAAAGGGATAAATAAGTTTTTATTCAAAATAAGAGTATAATTAGAGTAGCACAATTCCCACTTTAGCTCTAAAATTGTGTTGTTTTTTAATTCAAATTAAAAAATTATTTCATATCTTTTGATTACAAGTGGAATTTAATTGGGTTTCCTGGCTCAAATAAAAAATCCAGCTCTACATTGTCCATTGCTTTCTTTAATCAATAGAAGTTATCTGTAATTTATTAAAAAAAGCCTAGCCCTAAGGTTTCAAATACTTTCCATGTAGATAATAGGTCCTGAACAAAATACATCAGACCTAATTTAGTCTCTCAAATCAAAGAAGAAATATGGCTTAAATGCTTCTAGGCTTACCAGATATATAGTCAATGACTCGATGTTGATGCCGTACAAAATAAACACCTATAGTAGCCCCATACCAAGTATGAGGCCATTATCTGGTAAGTGACAAAAGAGAGTGTCTCCCCACCAAAGATCTGCACAAAACTATAGTAGCCCCATACCAAGTATGAGGCCATTATCTGGTAAGTGACAAAAGGGAGTGTCTCCCCACCAAAGATATATCCAAAAATTGAAATGATCCCCTTATTAAATGTTTAATATTTAATTTAGCTTCTTTTCTTCTATTCATTTCATGAAATGGCATTAGTTTTGTGCAGATCTTCAAATAGCTTCCTGTTATTTATTCTTTCATCTTACATTCCAATTTTGGGTCTGGAATGATTAATTATATCAGCTTTGTAAGTTTCAGTTATTAGTTCCACTCCCCTTTTGTATTGCAGGAAGAGACGAAATTAGTGACATGGTAACAAGCCTATCTGTTGGTGGAGGAAATTCAATAATTGACCAAGCTTTTGCTTTCTATAAAGTGCGTTTTTTTATGTGCAAGCCTTCCTATTATGTAAATAATTTGCTATTAACACATATGTTCCCCTGAATCTACTTTATTTTCGAAGATAGCGGTTGAGCGAAATTTCACTAGAGGGCGGAGAACATCACAAGTTGCAGCTGCTTGCCTTTACATTGCATGCCGGTAATAAATGATCCTTATAAGTTAAATATTCTTAAAATTATTCCATTTCTCTAATTATATTTTGGTGATCTCAACTATTCTAAAATTTTTTATGATTTAATCAGTGCCAAAGATTGCTAGGAGATGGGCCCTAGATTAACTGATGAGAATAAATGGTATCATAGGTTATTGTGTCTTGATTCTTGCACCGTTGGTTATTCTTGAAACTTCTATCTTATGTCTAGGTGTGGATCAGAAATAGTGAATAATTCCAGAAAAAAATTGACCCATATTTTCTTGCAAAATAGTTTATCATTTGAAGATTTACAAGTATGTACTATGTTATGCAAATTAGTACTTTGCCAATATTATTTTTTTTTGGAAAAAATATAGTGATGAATCAGACAAGCTAAACTTAGAAACATGTGAACCATAGTAAATTCCACTTAATATGTTGTACAAACAACTTTATTTAGTTTTTGATTTTTGGACAAAGGTTCTCTTATCTTGAAACAAACTAACCTTAAGTTTTCCAAAAAAATGACAAACTAGGAACTGCCTAAAATATTGTAGGGATAACCCCAATATAAGCTGATGCTAAAATCTCTCTGCCACTTCCTACCTCTATAGAAATATGAGAGTGACCAGACTACGATAACCGGACAATGGCGAATTGTGATCCAGAAAACAATCTTTAATGACAATGTCAAGACTGAAGCAAATGTTGCAAATCTCTGATTTTTCTTGGAAAATTTGGGCAAAATCTCTAGGATACTTTCCTAGGCATCAAAAAATTCTGAAAAATCTCCAAAAATCCTCTAAAAATCACAAAATTTAAGAATGACAATAATTAATAATTATGAACAAAAATCACTATTTATAATAACTTATAATTACTATTTGTAGCAAAATTGCAACTTACTATCTAATATGTGTGTGTATTAAAACAAAGCTGTCAGGCTAGAGAGTTTCTCCCTCAAACAAGTTGCATCTTATTTTCTCAAGAAAGAGCATCTCAAAAGTGGTTATTCACAATCTATCCATCAAAAAGAAAAAAAGTGGTTATTCCCAATACAAAATCTTCCTCAGACATGTACTCACTTAAAAAAGGTATGAGCTTCAAGTGGTAGTTACCTCCACTAAAAGGGAGAAAAAACAAAAAATTCATTTCAAATGATTTAGGATCATAAAGTGGGTTATTATTTAGAAATAAAACTTTATTTAATCTATTAAATAACAAAACTATGGCCATGTTTGGGAGTGCTTATTTGGGCCAGGACTGCACAATTAAGCACTTATTGGTGTTTGGGAAATGAGCCCGAAATAAGAGCTTATTTTAAAAATAAGGGCTTATTTTTTAAGCCTAAAATTTCAGCTTTCTTTTAAGTGCTTAAAAATAAGCATTTATTCAAAATTTTTCTCCTAGAATTGTCCCCGGTCATTTTTTAGAATACTGGTTATACCTTTTCAATGTAAAAAACGTTGGGCACCACCGGTGACTTCCTGGACCAGAACAATGACATGTTGCTTGACGAATGAGTCCACTAGCTCTATTTTCAATCCACCAACACAGAAACTATTACATTAGTTGTGGTTTCTCATGTCCAACTAAAAGAAAGAAGTTTTGGGATAAAGAAAAACACAGAACAAAGCAGCAAATTTAGGGAGTACCTGTAAATAGTCAAGGCTGCCATTAGGACTTCACTTGGAGAAAGCCTTCCAATCTTTGATGCAGCCATGAAATACCTATTGAGATAATAAAAATGAAAGATATCAACAAGAAAAGATAATAACAATGAAAAATTCCAAGGAGAGCCAAGAGAGAGGGAGGGAGGGAAACGCGAAACAGAACACAAAAAAGGCAATTCTTCATTACAGTAGGGACATTTCTTGGTTCAATCTGAGATGTGAAAACCTCAGGTGAAGGAAGTCCGTCAAATCTTCGATTTGAAGATGTTCATCCATTTGTTGTTTATTCAGCAGTTACCAAATGAACAAGAAATGAAGAGAGCTTGCAAGCTTAAGAACTGGTGTTGGAGTCCACTGCAAGTCCGCAATGGCGACATTGGCAGGAGCACTGCCTGGAGCCTTCAAGAACCCCGGGGATTCAGCCAGGGACACGCCAAAGACTGTCAGAACGAAGTTGAGTCGATAAGCATCTCACCAAAGCTCAAGATGAGCCCGTCGGAGCACTTCTTGCCCTTCTTGCTTGATATTAGATTGATCAAAACGCTAGTGTATATCTTGAAAATTTGAAAGAAAATGGACAAAATAGTCACAAGTGCTTATTGTAGAAAAATACCACCAAACACCCAATACTAAATAAGTACTTGAGAAAGCTGGGTGCTGAATGCAAATAAGTGCTTATTCGAATAAGCACTTGTTTTTAAGCACTTATTCAATAAGCACTCGCAAACATGGCCTATATAAATTTACAGCAGAAAAAATGGGTGTCAAACAAAATTTATCAGAATACATGAATAAAAAAAATCAGAATACTGGCCCTGACGCCCTGTACTAGTATTGGTAGGGTCATTCTCTAGTTTATGGTAAAAACTAGATCTTATAACAGGAATTCAAGAGGAGGAAAAAGATTTAGAGTAGGGGATCAAATTAACAAGAATCACCACTCACAAGGGGGAGATTGGACACAGCAAAAAAGGAAAGAACTGAATGAAAGTTGACCAATAGCAATAGCAAAAAGAAGAACAAACATCAAAAGAACAATTCAGATCTGATTATAATCAACTTCAGATGTGATTGTTATCAATGCCATCATCATCATCATAATCATCAGAGCCTTCTTCTTGCACTTATAGCAATAGCAAAAAGAAGAACAAACATCAAAAGAACAATTCAGATCTGATTATAATCAACTTCAGATGTGATTGTTATCAATGCCATCATCATCATCATAATCATCAGAGCCTTCTTCTTGCACTTATAGACGAGTGCACTCATCAGAGCCTTCATCATAAAAATCTTTCTCCTCTATCTCTGCACTCATAGATGAGTTTTATGAAGCCATGAAAAAACGTTGCTCAAGCAACCAAATCTGGTTTTTGGAATTACAAGTGCATCTATTAGGATCAAGGTTCAAAGTATCGATACGATACGAGTTTCGGTCGTATCGTATCGGTACTTAGAAATGGCCGAAACTTTATTTTTTTTATTTTTTTTTCACATTTTGTTTTTTTTGGAAAGCTTTTAACATGCTTTTTATTATTAAAAAAAATTGGGGGTCTGAAACACCTGGAAACAGGCGTTTCGGACTGTATCTTTTTCAAAAGATACGATACGATACACCCCGTATCGGGCGTATCGTATCGATACTTTGAACCATGATTAGGATATAAATGGCCTTTTTGTAGGGTTATGTTATGAAGCTTGATTGCTTGCATGCCAGAAGAAACAATAGAAACTAATGAATAATTTTCATGTTGTTTTGTAGGGAAAATATGAAGGCGTATCTTCTTATTGATTTTTCAGAGTACCTACAGATAAATGTGTATGAGTTCTTCTTTTTCTAATTCTATTAAGAATGTAAAATTGATATACATGCATGTTAGCTGTTTTTGTTTGCAATTTGCATGTCTGATTTATTATGCTCTGACATGATATCATGCTTCAGTTATGTGCTAGGTGCTGTATTTTTGCAGCTTTGTAAACTCCTAAGGCTTGAAGAACATCCAATTGTTCAGAAACCTGTTGATCCCAGCCTTTTTATTCATCGCTTCACAGAGCGTAAGCTTCTATAAAGGCTTTAACTGTTTTCTTGCTGGTTGATTGATTTTATAGGAGGTTGGCTTCAATTTATGATATAGTTTTTAATCATATGCATAGGGGCATGTTGTTGTTTAGATGCATCTCTCTTTATGCAATCTAACCTGAAGGATGAAATTCTTTCATAAGTGGTCTGATGTGTAATAGACATGTAGAAGAGACTTTGGGAGAGAAGAAAACAAAAGCATGACTAAAGGTGCATAAATTCAGAGAGAGAAGTGCTCTTTTTCAATTGTCTCCAGGATAACTAAAACTGTTAACCATTAAAGGTATAATTGACGGTTGAAATATGATAATATAAAGCTGTCAAGTAGTTTCTAACATGTCAAGCTCTAAAAGTGATGAGATGGGGATTTGGTAAAACAACAATATATTTTTTAGGGAATGGGGGTAAAATTTTTAAAAGTTTCCTTGTCTTATTGGCGACGTAAAAGGAGAAGGCTTTCTTTATGTCCTTGGTGGAATTCTGGACATAGACATACATTAAGACAAGTAGAGGATGAGGAAAGGGAAACAACATAGGTGCATGGTTCAAGGTATCGATACGATACGCCCCATATCGGGCGTATCGTATCGTATCTTTTGAAAAAGATATGGTCCGAAACACCTGTTTCTAGGTGTTTTGGACCCCCCAATTTTTTTTAATAATAAAAAGCATGTTAAAAGCTTTCCAAAAAACCAAAATGTGAAAAAAAAATGAAAAAAAAGTTTCGACCGTTTCTAAGTACCGATACGATAAGACCGAAACTTGTATCATATCGATACTTTGAACCTTGCATGTAAGGCACATTTTAAGGCAACTACCTCACTTGCACCCTGCAGAGAGATTGGGCGGAATGGGTCTTAGTGTTCTTTATTCATTAGTTTTATTTCAGTTGTAGTGGGCCTCCTTTATGGCTAGGGGTGTTCACGGGTCGGGTTGGGTCGATTTCTTGGGATTTTCCCAACCGACCCGACCTGGTCGGGTTAGCTAAGGTGGGAACCGAAACCGACCCACTGACAGGCCAAACCAACCTGGTCGGTTTGAGTCAGGTTGGGTCGGTTTGGGTCGGTTTCGGTTTTGCTCCTGTACAAAGCCAAATAAAATCTGAATTAGTTGATAATTTGATATTCAAGAGTCCAAGATAAATCTAAATTTAATTCAGGTAAAGAATAAAATCAATAAATTCTTCATGTAAAAACAAATGTCAATAGTGGGCCTTCTAGAGTAAAAAACTAGGTAAATCTAGGTAGGTAAATCAATAAAATAAAAATTTAGAAACCTTCTAAATTCTAATCTAGGTAAAAAACTAAAAAAGGACACCTAATTGAATTCTAATTGTAATTGCCTAATGGGCCTTYTAGAGTTCTAGTTCTAGTAGAAGTCTAAAAGTAGTAGACTAGTAGGAATTAGGAAACTACTCAAACTAGGAAGTAGGAACTACCAAACTAGTACAATACTAGTTCGGTTCGGGTTGGGTTGGTTTCGGTTTTCACGCAAGAAAACCGAAACCGACCCGGGATTTCGGTTTATGCATATGCCCAACCCGAAACCGACCGGTACGGATGAAAACCCGGCCGACTCGGGTTGGGTCGGTCCGGGTTGGTCGGTTTGGTCGGGTTGGGCATTCTTATGAACAGCCCTATTTATGGCCATTAATACTTATTATTTTTGTGTCTTTTGAGTCAGTTGCCTTTCTAGGGCACTCATTTTATTTTCCCATCTTTTATAATCAACATACTAGTGGGAACCCGTGCGATGCACGGGATTTATTAAGCAAAAGATAAATAATAGAAAGGATCATTTACTAAAATACCCTTATGGTTTCATGGATTTACTAAAAATCTACCCTATAGTTAGCATTTTACTAAAATACCACTTATAATTTGCAACAAATTTAATCAATCTTCCATTAGATGATAGTGGAAAATGACAGTGTTGACCCTAATGTTCATTTAAATAAATTTAATCAAAAGAAAATAGAAATAAAAATATCATTTTGCCCTTAATAAGACACGAGCAACCACTCTATTGGCTATATTTGGCCAATTTTGTGTTTTGTATAAAAAAGTGTTAAGGGTATTTTTTGGGATAAAAAATCATGGGTCTAATGTCAAAACAAACACTCCTTAATGAAAGGTTGATTAAGTAAATAAATTGTAAAATATATGGGATATTTTAGTAAAATGAAAACTATAAGGTAGGTTTAAGTAAATATATAAAACTATAAGGTGTGCTCTAGTAAATGACCCTAATAAAAACACATAAGAGTATAAAATTGTTTTATATTTTCAACTTTTTATATAATTAATAATTATTCATATTTTATATACTACTTTTAATAAATTTTTTATAATACAAAAATAACAATAATTAATTTCAGTTAAGTTTATTCATCAAACTTATGAAACCGACCAACTCGATCAACTCGACCCGAGTTGGTCAGTTTTCTGGTATTTTATGTTGACTTTGGTTCAAAAAATTCCTGATTCGAGCAAGTTGGATCAGTTTCACTTTGGCCATTTGTAAACCAACCAAAATCAAACGACCTAACCATGGATATATATATTAATATTTTATATTTTAAATGTATTTTTTAATATGAAAATGTGAGAAAATTTCCATATTTCTTAGTCTAAAATGTTTCATTTCATAAATCTAAGTTTTAAATTTATTTTTTAATAATTGCTGTGAGTGAGGCAGATCATCTACCTATGGGAGACTCCTTGAAGGACAAAGGAAAGCCGAGTGCAGGAGGTAGGCAAAAGGCTAGGGCAAATGAGGTGATAGAATGATTATCTCGTTATGAATTGGACCCCTATTTATAGGGAGGGATCCCGAGGTCCCGAAAGGAAGGAGCCAAAAGTGTTTTGTTTTCATTAGGAAAGAGAATCTTGGATTTGGTGTCAGTTGTTAGGGAACACTGTTAGGGCTTTGCTATGTGTCTTATGAGATATCTCAAGGACGAACTTTCCTTTCGTCAAAGGATTCTCATAATACATGTGTGCTATTTCCTTTCGTGACCCTTTTAAAAAGACATGGCATGGGTGACGTCACTATTTAGCTTGTGCACCCTCATTAGGCTCACGGGGTGTCTCGTCACGCGCGTTATTTAACGACGCACGTGTTTCTATTATTTGTTTATGATCTGTGATGAGTTTGCGATCATCGTGATTCTGTGATGATTTTAAACTCATTGCAAGTTTGCGCGGGTGAGCGGTTCTGCCGTTTTGTGATGGATTTAAACTCATCCCAAGTCTACGCGGGTCCAAAGTTCATCGCAACCTATTTCGGTTGAGTTCATCACAAATGTGTGGTGAGTTATGAACTCATCGCATGGACTTATTATAGGCATTCACGTAGTATTAGTTTGACACCTCCTCTGTTCTGATGGTCTAAGTGACCACCATGTACCTACAATTGCACTTTAATTTTTAAGTTTAAATCTTTTGAACCGACCAATCTTTTGTGAAAACCGACCCAAACAATACAACTTGAGTGGGTCGGTTTTCACAAAAGGTCAATTGGCTTCAACTGACCAACTCCCCAACCTGACCAGGTCAATTTGGTTGGCCAAATAGCCTACGACCGGTCCGAACCAAATCATGAACACTTATAATTTTAGCTAAATTAATAGTCTTATCTCCGATAAATAAAAATAGTTTAATCTCCAATAATTATTAAAAATTTATAGCGAAAACACACAATTACTGAAAATATATTGATAATGAAAAAATACAATAATTACAATTATTACAAAAATACAATAAGTACTAAACATATATTAACTTAGTCAATAAATAGTATAATCTCAAATAATAGTTTAATCTCTAATAAATATTAATTAATCAATAAGTTGTAACAAAATTACAATAAATACAATAAGTACAATAAATTAAATCTAAAAAATTCAATAATAGTAGTTTAATCTCTAATAATTATTGAAAGTTTTGCATTAAATAACAAAACAAAATAAATTTATACATAATCATTGAAAATACATTTATCACAAAAACAATAAATAATTACTAAAATACAATAAATATTAATCTTAGTATATAATTATATAATAAATAGAGATTAAGAGTTTAAAATTATTATTAATAAATATTAATGTTTTTGAAAGCTTTTTTCTCGAATTATTACCTGATATAAGTGGAATTAGTTATTTACAATATTATGTAAAAATATTAAATTATTATTAATTTCAATATTATGTTATAATTACTTTTCTACTTTTCAGATTTTTTTTTTAAATTTATTACATAATTTGTTATTTTAACTATTTAAAATCTAGTTATGATAGATATTTAAATTATCTATAAAATATTTAAAACTTTTTGTTATTTGAATTTTATTTATTTAAAGCTATTACATATTATTAAATATTT